AGGAGGAGGGTTTTTCCGTGACAAAATTTTGCAATATATTTTAAAATTGTCTCTCTAGCTCAAAATTATGATGGGTTAATATTGAAAAAAAAAAAGAAATCGTAAGTAGAAAGATATTTAATAATTAAAAAAAAAGGTTAAAAATACAATATAAATTTATAATAATGAAAGTTATTATTATAATTTATTATAATTATGACTAATTTCATATATGAATCACAAATACGCACATACTCAATACTTAAATGTTTTTGTTGAATAAAATTCATTAATTGTATTCTTAATCCCTTCAAAGTTTAAATCACACTTTTTTTATTCAATCAAAATTTGAAAACACCATTCTTTTCTACAAATTTTAATATTTCATAAAAAAAACATAACTAAAGAAACATAAGGGTGTCGTTTATGGCCACTGAAAATATATATTTTATCAATTTATATCTGTTTCCTTAAATATTTAGTTAATTATGATTGATGTCTATAAAAAAATCGACTTATAAATTAATTTTAATTTATAGAATAATAAATATTTAATTATTTTTAATTGTTAAACCAAACAAAATCAACAATTTTTTTAACAAATTGGGGTGGAGTTAACGTATTGCTTTGTGGCTATTTATAGAGTTGGTAAAGTAAACCGCATTTTAACATAATTACAGAAACCTTGACCGTATACATACATGTATTGACTATTGATGGTAGGGAAAAAAAATCAGAATATTTTGATATTAAAAATATTAAAATATTTAATAATATTTATATGATAAATTTAGTAAAATTAAAATTTATATTATATTTTATATATTTAATGATTATAATTAAATATTTTAATATTTTTAATGTTAAAATATTTTGATTTTTTCTTTTTTCCATTGATTGTTTATAAGAGCATCTACGGCGCATGCTCAATTGTATTGTTCTTTTTCAAAATGGAATAGAACACATTTTATTTTTCTTTTTTAATTAAGGAAGGAATAGAACACAAATTTAAGTTACATAGGAGCAAAATATTGCATAAACAGTGACCATAAGCTCGATTGTCTAAACAGAGCCGAGCTTGGTAAAAAAAAATTTACCCAAAAAATTAAAACGATGTCGTTTAAACTATTTTCAAAGAAAGTTGGGGCAAGGCACCTGCTTGCCACCTGATCAACTTGGCCATCCTATTGGATTTTGAATCCAATGGCTGTTAATTTTTTTTTTTTGAAAATTTTTTAAGTATAATTTTTTATTTAAATATACAAAATGTGATAAAAATAAAATATTAATTATGTAATTTAAAAAAATTATTTTAAATATGCATTAGAAGAAAATATTTTATTAAACGTTTTATTTAAAAATTAAATATATAAAAATATAAATTTATATAAAATAATATTAATTTTGATAACGTTCCACCAAACCGAGCTTTTGAAATGTCCTCTATTGTACATGTTCTAACCATGTAAATCCGTTCCCTTCTATTGTTGTTGTGTACTTCTGTTTGTTTCTTTTTTCATTTTTGGGTTTGAGGGTTTTTTCTTTCTTTCTTTCTCTTCTAGAGTTGCTGCTACAATCAGTGTAACGTAACCAGCATTCAAAATTTATTATCCAAAGTAGGGTTGAGCAAATGGTTGGTTAATTAAATGGTTAGCAAAAAATTAATAAAAAATTTATTAAATAATTAGATGTAAATGGTTATTTTTTAAAATTTTGGTTGAATAACTAAAATAATTTGATCGGTTAATGGTGAGAGGGTTAGAAAATCGACAATCAAAATATATAATAAAAAACACATAATTTTATATTAACAAATAAATAATAATTATTTAAATATTATAAATAAATATAAAATTCATCTTGTTCAATCTCATTGTCAAGTTTAACCCTATAGAATTTTTTATAATTTAGTATTTGAATTTGAAATATATCTAAAAGTGAAAAAATAAAATTTAAAATTCATATTTTACTCTCATTTGTTCAGCTTTTTTGCATTTTCATATATATATATATAGATATATCTCATAAAAATTTCAAATTTTGATAAGATATAGTAATTGTTAAGCTTAAAATATGTATTTATTATTAATTTGGCTATAAACTAATAACCGATATGTTAAAACTGATTATTTCGGTCATTGAACCAAAAATCAATGAATATTTTTTATTTGATTTTGCTTCCTATAAATTGAAAAATAAAAAGAATGGTCAAATATTGATTTTGGTTAAACCTAAACTAAATCGTGTCCACCCCTAATCAAAGGGTAGTTTGGAAGGAAAAAAAGAGTTAGTTAAGAAAAAGACAAAAAAAAAAACAGAAAAGGAGGGTACAAATCATATTAATTGAGTAGATAACAACATTCAAAATTCCTAGATCTCTATTTAATGCGCCCGTACATCTCCATGTAAATTGTTTCTCTATTGGCTTTGAAACTTAACTATGGAAGGGGAGGTCCAAGCTAATTAATTCATTATAAACCCCTACATGGGGGGCATTCAGTTAAATACAAATCTAAACTTTTGCAAAAAGTTTACTTTGGTCACCTATGTTTTATTTTTATTATTTTTATCCTTGCTTAGTTCATACTATTTTAATCATTTGTTAGCATTTGTGTGGTTGAAGATTACTTTTAATGATAAAGAAGGGAACAAAGATAATATAAAATATAGATAAAAGTAAATATTAATAAATTTTATTGATTATAATTTTTTACCGTGTTTATTTATTAGTATCATTATTTTTTTTTAGTTGTTCGTAGTATATTTGTTTTCACTTAATATATATTCATTTTTTTCTTCTAATTAATAGTGTTCATGCTACGTCATCAACCACTGTTAATTCATTGTTAAAGATTAACCAATGTCAATTAAAATATCCTTTTTAACTTTTCAAATTGAAACAAAAAGTTATAGTTTTTTGGTCAATTTTTTTTAACCCTAAAAATATTTTGACTTCGCCACTGGTACTGTTTCGATCATCGTGCAAATTTGCAAATTGCAGAGAGGAGAAATAAATTAGATATTAAAACGAATGAATCACACTAGTAAATATGTGCGGTACTTGTTGTTTTCTTTACGTGGTCCTGTGACTCGGTTGTTTCTTGTTTTGGGAATCGGTGGTCCCATAATTTAATAATTAGTGCCGGGGAGACCAGCCAGAGCTAGGGCTGGTTCCGAAGTTGTATAAACCGCAGATCTCTGCGAGTCGAGAAATCATTGAAGAAATTAAAGAAGAAGGAGGAAATGGGTCGGAGTCATCAATGTCTTCTGGATGGACGGAATAAGGGAGCATGGACTAGTAATGAGGATAAGATCCTTACAGATTATGTCAAGGTTCATGGTGAAGGAAAATGGAACAATGTTGCCAAGAAAACAGGTTCTCCGTCCATCACCAATTAATCTTCTCTTTAAATTTTACTATTTTAGCAAGTCAGTTTTCCTTTTTGATGTTCTCATACAGCTACAGTTTTTACTTAATTATTGGTTGCAAGAACTCAAACTGTAGGCCTACAGGTGAGTTTAAAGAAGCATGAATGATTGATCAAAGCGTTTCTTTTGTAGTGTTTGTTTGGTTTGTGGGAAGTTATTAATGTATCAAGTTTGTTTGTTATGAACTTATGATGTCCTGGGTTTTGTGTCCATTAGTAGCTGTGAGCATGTCTATTTTGATCTCTCTTTCCTGCTAGGTGGAATTTTTTAGTAGTTGTTACGTGGTTTTGTGTTTTGAATTTGTCTTAATAGAATGTGTAGTAATTTTTTTATAACAGCATAACAAATAAAACTTTTTATTATTAGAGTACAAGGTACTCCTACCTAATTCCATCTAGTATCCTTACAAATAAAAACATTAAGACATTTTATACCAGTGAACACATTACCAACAAGCATAACCCCCATCGAAGTGTTCTATCCTTTCATCATCTCTTTTGTTTTACTTTTCTACACAAGTTTTGAACACTCCTGTGGGTTGGTGATCCAATTTGTAAAGTTAAATTCTCCTTGCCTAGATTTTCCAGTTATCCAGTGGCAAGAACGAGTTTGCACCATTGTAAACAATTTTTCCTCTTCAACATTGATACTTTTGAATATATGTTATTTTTGCATAGCCATATGTTCCATACAACAGCAAATCATATAGCCTCTCACACCATGCTACCTTTCTTTATTCTATGGTTACATTTATTATTATTAGTCTGTTGATTATTGTGATTTGTAAATTTTATTTGTGCTGATTAAAAAAAAAAAAAATTGTAGGTCTTAAGAGATCTGGAAAGAGCTGTAGGCTCCGGTGGAGGAACTACTTGAAACCTGATATAAAGAGAGGAAACATTTCCAATGACGAAGAAGAATTGATCATTAGACTCCATAAGCTCCTAGGCAACAGGTATGCATATATAAGTTTACCACACCGCTTGGTCAAATTTGCAAGATGAATTTACTGCCAATATGTGGTACAGTTTCTGTGTTCTGACGAAATTGGTTTGCATGGCTTGAACTTTAGATGGTCACTTATAGCGGGGAGGCTTCCTGGCAGAACAGACAATGAAATCAAGAATTACTGGAACACTACTCTAGCCAAAAGAGCAAAAGACTTTAAAATGAAAGTTTGTACTCCGATTGGCAATGTTAATGAGGTCCCTCGGACCATGTGCAATGCCAATGTTAAACTTACAACTCAAGTTGTCCTCGTCGATGCAGCAGTACAGTCCGATGAAAATCAGTATTTTACTTATAATTTATCAATAGGACCATCCACTGAAAACTACATGTCCAGGAAAATGGAGTACCAATTCAATGATGCGTCGTCATCTTCCTTGCCCCAATTAAAAGATCATGACGATGCAACAGATTTCTTGATGGACTTCAACGTAGACGATGTTTGTAAGTTTTTGGAAACGGAAATTGTACAGATGAATGATGACAAAGTTTCCCCAAACGGCGGCGGCGAAGGAGGAGGAGATGAGGGAGATGGAGACTCGTCTTTTCTCAAGAAATTGGCGGAGGCGGAGAAGGAATCATCCTTGGATTTTCAGTCGTTGGCTTCTTCTTTCCTTGAATCGGCTGAGGAATGGCCGCCGATTAGTCTGAATATATTAGCATTCAACCAGGAGAAATGAACTGTATTTGTTTGGTACGTGTTAAGAGAATTAAGATCCTACGTGTATGTCTTAAGTAAATTATATATACTTTTGTAATTTCATGATCTAGAGCTAATTAAGCTCTAAGGTGGACTTAATGGCGCCAGAGATGTAATAATAAAGTGTTGAGTTCGCACTTTCAGAGAGTTTGATATTCCACATAAAATATATAAAAAGATGATGATTCATGCATATTCAGTTTTGTCACCTCCGGTTACACTTCTTTTAAAAAATTAATATTTCACAGCTCAGTTTTTTAATGCAAAGTAGCTTAAACTTATGCCCATTTATATTGCATTGGTTTATTTGTGTTTCCAAACATACTGATTTTACCGCGGCTTGACAAAAGACATCTATGTTCCTCTTCTTCCCTTCTCTCTTTTTTTCTTCTCCTAAATCCTAGAATGGGGGAAGAAAACTCAAAAAATCAGCACCCAAAAACCTCCAGCTCTCTTTTTTTCTTCTCTCAAATCCTAGAATGGAAGAGGAAAACTCAAAAAATCAACAACCAACAACCTTCCGCTCCTTTCTTTGATTTTTTCTTTTTGTTAGATTTGTCAACTCATCCCTTTATTTTTTGTTGGGCTCACCTCCCCTTCTTTTTTTTTTTGCTGAAACCCCTCCAAAATCCCCCGAGATCCCCCTTCCTATTTATACAAGAAATCCCCCAAAACCCTAAAATTTCTATCTATTTCACTCACTTGTTCCCTTTCCTTTCTCTCCTCTTTACCCTTGGATCGTACAAGGCCAAAATTGTCCACTTTTGCCCTTTTTCGACCATGGCTATTTTCTACAAGAAATGAAAGGACACGACCAAGAAAAATTGCTAGAATTTCTTGTCGCTTTCGTATGCTTTTGATCTGTGGCAGGCCCGTCTAGATAACAATGGAGAAGGGAGATGCCCAAACAAGAATGGGATCTATGAATCCTTTCTCAATCAAATCTTTTTACAATGAGATTGATTGTTTTCATAAATTTGACAATCAAACCCCAAGGATCCATCTAACTCTCACAGAGGTGAGGATGAGTGGGACTCTTGTTATGGCATCAATATTTTCTAACATCAAAGAAACTATTGTTGTCAATGAGTTCGGTGATTTTCCCAATTTGAATGGAATCTAGATAAGCAAGAATAAGTGAATTTGTGGAAAAAAAATATTTTATTAAGTAAACCGGCTGTGTGTGGTTGAGGATGTGGGTTTATAGGGTAAATATATGGGACTAGCTAATATATGCTAATGTTTTGATTTTAGATGATATTTTGAACATATATATTGTCTTATTCATGAGTTCTCGTAACTTACCTTTAAAATTAATATATTAACACCGTTTTTCTAATATAATAAAAGGCATGTGTTTTAATTTTTTAAAATTAAACTAAAAGTATCTTTATAAAATCATCAAGCCATCTTTCATGTATTAAGTGCAGTGAAAATTATCAATTTTTTTTTATATATATATAAAAGGAAAACTATTGTGCTTAGTATATATTTATTTAATAAATAAATAATAGACTTAATTACATAAACTGTTGTGCTATTTTATTAACTATTTTTATTAGAAACACGTGTGAAAGGCAAGAATGTTCTAAAAGTTAGTTTTTCTTTTCTTTTAAGAGATAAAATTTCTTTTAATGAGGGGTTTTGATGGTTTTTCCCTTTATTATTATTCTTATTTTTTTTTTTTGGCTTTTGTTTATCTTTTTCTAGTGGGGTGTCTCTTTATGAGAATTTTGTTGTGGATTGATAGCGCATCTAGAGTGACAAATTTAGCGATTGTTTGTGGCAATGGCATGGTGGCCCAAGGTGTAGTCTTTTCTCTGTTGAATATTTTCGTGGAGGAAGAGCAATCTTTGAAGGTACCAAAGATGTGGCAGGCAGGTGGGGCAGTGGCTTGGAGTGGAGAAGGAGCGCAATAGGTGGTTATGGTGGCCAATAGTGGGTGTGGTTGTTGATGGATACGGTTGTTTGGAAAGCAGGCAGTGGGCTAGGGTTGCTTAGGTTGGCCTGAAGTTGGTGGGAAAGAGGCGACGAGTTTTCATGGTCGAGCACTATAGAATTTTTACCAAAAATCCCAAAATTGTCAGGCAATAATGTGCAAATTTTAGAGCTTTTAGACGGAAATCTTAAGTATGATGCGATCTATTCAACATCGATTAGCAAGGCTTAAACTGAAATTAAGCAAGGAAAAATAGGGAATTTTATTATTTCTTCGTTATGTTAAGATGTTAATTCTTCCATATCCCATTAAGGATGCAAATGGTGTGTGATTACAATTACCTAATGTCTATTTTAAACTAACCCACCCCCAACTCCACCCGCACCACCTCCCCACCAAAAAAAAAAAAAAAAATTACGGTGAAATAAAATGATTTTATGTAAAACTTTGTGAAAAGATAATGGTAGGAGAATAATTTTTTTCTACAATTTTTATGCATAATTTTCATGTTTCATTAAATAAATAAATATATATATATAATATAATAAGTCTCAATAAAATTAAATAATAATAATAATAATTATATGATATATAAAATTGCATTAAAAAATTATATACAAAATTATCTGTTAGTTATTTTCCTATGTGAAATTAATTTTTCAGGGCTTTCTTAGTATTAGAGCTACTCACGTTCAGCGAGCCCAAGTGACAATTGGAAATTTAGAGTGGGTTGTGTCGGGCCGTGGTTCATCAAAAGAATCATTACCATCCCAAAGAAATTAGGCCCAAAAGTGACACAGATAGCACACCAATCAATCATTGAAGTAAGGAGCAAAGTTTTCGAGGCAAATTAAAGGCAATTAGCTGCCTTTTCTGTGAGGTATGGTCAGAAGAAAATTTCCTTTATGTGCAACCTTTTTCCAGTGTTTTACTGATTGACTGCCGGATTTAGGATTTCAGTTTCATGCTTGTTGTCACCATACTGAATTTTCTTTCTAGTAACTATCTTTATGAACCTGTGAATTGGAGTTTGCTTTTGCTAATACTAGCAAACAATATGATTTCTGATCACTTTAAGGAACACCCAAAATTACTATTATTTCTTTTTATTAGTCAAAATCTTTG